GGATCTATTATATTGGTCTGCTCCCATCAACTACTGGACCCAGATGGGTTTCAGAAGGAACTGGGGGCTGTAACTGCAGATGTGCTGCATAGTCCAGCCAAGCTCTTGGTCACTGTTGGAATAGGAGGCTCTGGATAAGATTGTGCCCATGCGACCTTTCCTCACCCAAAGAACCCTTTCCTGTCCTCTGGGGTATACAGAGGGATTAAATGGATGAAGAGACGTCTAGAGCACTGTTGGCAGAAGACAAGGAATGAACTTGATAGAACACAGATTGAGTAGCTCTGGGTTTTTGGTTCATGAAGATTTGCCACCTTTGGATCAGGTGGCTCTGCCCCAAACAGACCCTGTAATCTGGGGATTCTCCTGGACTTGCGACTTCTGCTTGAAGAGCAGGTGGCAGTCGTGACTAGGAGGGCCTTTGGCAAATGTAGGCTATGTGCCAGTTACATCCTTTCTTGGACCAACAATCCCTATTCACAGTCACTCATGCCCTGGTCATGTCCTGTCTTGATTATTGTAACTTGCTCTACATGGGACTGACTCTGAAAAGCATCTGGAAGCTCCAGTTCATTCAAAATGCAGCAGCCCACATAGTTTTCTGCAGACCCCAGTGTGCACATGTATCACTTCTTCTGTGGAAAGTGCATTGGTTGCTGATTTGCTTCTGGGTGCCATTCAAGATGCTGGTTGTTACCTTTAAAGCCCTACATGGCTTGGGATCAGGTTATCATAGGGACTGTCTCTTGCCGGGCACATCTATCTGACCCACTGGAGCAGGAGTGTCAAACTCAAGGCCTACAGGCTAGATCTGGCCCACAATGTGGTTGGATTTGGCCTGCGGGGCCATCCTGGTCTACCCAATGCGAAGAGGAAAGTTCAGGCCAGCCTGGCTTCGGCCTGGTCTACCCAGTGCAAAGAGGAAACATGCCAGCAGTTTGGGGAGTCATCTCAAGTTGACCATGCCCCTCCAGTTGACCACACCCACCCAATTGGCCCACATGGCCCCCCCAAGGTCAACCACGGCCCTGATGCGGCCCTCAATGAAATTGAGTTTGACACCCCTGCACTAGAGCAAGGAGGCAAGGAATGTTGTGGGTCCCATCCCTTAAGGAGATACATCTGGCAGAACCCAAAAGAACGGCCTTCCCCATGGTGCCACCCCCTCTCTGGAAAATCATCCTACTGGAGATTAGATTGGCCCCCACTCTTTCGGAAGGCCTGAAGACTTGGGTCTACCAGCAGGCCTGGGGAACCCAAAGCAGGATGGAGCCCATTAAATGGTTGGTACGAATGTTTTTATTATTTTATTTCTTTTATATTGTATTTTTATGTCCTTGTAAGCCGCCTTGAGTCACCATGTGCAAGTAGGCGGCAATATAAATTTTCTAAATAAATAGATTTTATCTGTTTCCCATTTTATTCTCTAACTCCTCAAAGAGTGTGCAGGGGCCTTTAGACTATTAGTGTCATACTGGATATAAGGGAATTGCTTAAATTGGAAAAAGGGAATCCTAAGCCATGTTTGTAAGAGCGCTATTATTGGCAGTTTCTTTCTTCTTTTGCAACCCTGCAAGACATAGCCAGCTATGCCAGAAAATACTTTTTGCTAGAGCTTTTCAAGACACTGAAGGGTGGTGAAAATGGAAGGGTCAATTTTAAAACTTGATAGTTGTCCACAATAAGTTTTATATTATGCACTACTATGTTTAAACAATGTATGCATTTCAGAATAACATTTTATTGACATATCTAGGAATTCTGAAAACAGACTTTAAAGTTTGTTAAGGTTTACCAAGTACTTCAGTAGATATTTTTTTTTTACAAAAAAAGAGTTTTAGCCTTAAAGAGGCTAAATACACTGCAGCCGTT